TGACTTTGTCAGCATAATGGTTTTTGTTGTTGCTGGTTCTGTTCATATACAGCATCGTTGATATATATATATATAAATATGAAAAACAATTATTTAAACAGCTAGCACTTGACCATCCATGTACTATGCATTCAAGGTTTATCCACCAATCAGCTTGGAGATTTTGTCAAACAGATTAGACCATTAATTATATTGCCAATGCAGGAGCAATTGGGATTTGGCCAGTTTCCACAGAACTGTTTGAGATTTAAGTGTTGCCTAATACAAGTGAATCAAATTCTCATCAGCAATCTTCTGAAACGAATTCGAATCCTACATCACTATCAGGTACCTATTGAATTTCACGTGGCTCTTATATTTCAAAATGTTTCACTATATCACAATGTTTCATATCCACTTCATATCTCCAAACTCCCCACGATCTCAGCCATGGCCACCGGAAAAAACTGTTGCCTCTCTTGGGAAAGCATCAGAGTCTCGGCCCTGCGAGGGGCGCATGAAAAGTCTGTCCGTGCTTGGAAACCACGAGGATTTGAGGTTCGATGCGAAAAATGATGAAATATGATTCATTTCCTAGAATTTGAATATAATACAGTAAATATCAGTAAATCTTCGGTTTGTATAATGATGTTTTTATATGCTTTTGAGTGCTTTTGAGATATTGATGATTTCAAACGATAAACAATGCCGGTTAGATGGATCAAGAAGCAGGATTTAACCCTATAGAAAATAATAGAAAATAGGCTGCTTGGCTGTCAAAAAAGATGGCTGCAAGCAACGAAGATGGCGATACCCAGTCATACTGAAGATATACCATCTGGTTATGACTAACATAGCCGTGGAAAATCGCAATTTTTAAAAGGTAAACCATCTATTTCTATGGGCCATCTATACCATGGCTATGTTAGTCATAACCAGAGGGTAATCGATAAACAGTCGGGGTGTCTGAAATGGCGTTGAAAAACCTCTGACATGACCATTTCAATGGGCAAAATTATGATAAACAAGTGGATTTGAGAATACTGAATTTGGTCAAATGGGGCCACAGCCACATCCTTAAAAAAAACCTGGGTTTTGCTGCCGGGTTGATCGGCATATCCTCTATCTCCATTGGAAATTCGCTCGTCAAAACTTGAGTTTCCCCACTCTGCAAGCTCATGTTTTTCCCGCAATGTGCGGAGACGCTTAGGTGTTGGCAAAAACTCAGGGCCCAATACAAATGTCTGGAACGCTAGATTTTGCAAATTGCAATCAGCAAACGGTCTTTGGGCGTCCTGAGTTTTGAACACTCAAATAGAGAAGGCCAAATGATACCGAGTCTCCTTGAGTCTCGAAAAGCGAGGTTGTACAGTGGTCAACTGGAGGTTCAAGATAAAACCTAGCACTTTATGTGGCCTGTGTTGAGCTTGCAAGTGGCGTTTATCAAGAACATAAACAATTCACATGTGAAGGTAACTATAACGTAGCTATACTAGATATCTACACACTATCTACATACACAGACATACACTCATATGCCCTAGTAACGGGCCGCTGCTGGAATACAATTTTGCCGTCCTGTCCCAGAATCACTCAAGAAACCCCACTGCAAACATCATGACAAGTGGTCTGCTGGGTACATTAGTATATCCCAATTTTGTAAAAATGTGTTGGATATAACTCTGGGCATCCAAGACAATTAAGAAAACAGCGCTTTTCACCAGATCTTTAGCATATCAATCCATTTTCAAGTATGCACACGTTCATACCTTTCCTCCAATGATCGCCCCGGATTTTAGCCCAAGAAACCTGTACTGTTGAACCTTTCGAATCGTAAAGACACGATTCCCTTTGTGAGTTCCCATTCGGAACATTGAAAGTGAACACCCTACAGTTGTAGTCCTTAAGCCTTAACAGTTTAACTTAACAGTCATAAATGAGATTATTTCATGATCTATAACCGTAGTCAATCTGAGTTATAGGAATTATAATCCCATTTAATAACTGTCTAAGGATCATATGAGTCATAACCGTAAGCAAACCCAGGGATTGCTGTCTTTGGACGTTTTTATCTTTATTTTTTTGGTCAGCGGTCCACGTCTTGGAGACAGTGCCACCAAAAACATCACGATTTCGGTGCAGCCGAAACTTGGATAGCCAGTATCTTCCCAGCCTACAAAGCCACCCAAAAAGATGGAACAGTCATTTTCCAGTGTCACTAGAAATAAAATTCATCCAGAATTATGGTTGGCTCAGGTCTGGCCGATTCAATATGATATCAACTGGAGAGAACTCAAGACCAACCAGCAGTTCTATGTAAAACCAACAGCAAAAACTGACTAATCGCTGGCTTAATCCGTTGACATCTGAAGCTTTTGGGCTTCATTAGTAGCCTCAAAATTGTACAATTTTACCCCTCCTGAAGTGCAGCTAAGTACTGCAACACAACAAAAACTGGGCATGTTGGCCGGGTTGGCCCAATTGTTCCGACTTTTTGAACCATTTGCAGAACCAAAAAAACAGATAACCCCCTGATTATTAACATAGCTGTGGAAAATGGCCCATTTATATAGATCCGTTTAGTTCGATGATGTGCCTACTAAGATGATTGCGTTCCATAGCAGGAAAATTATATTACCAAATGGCATCCCCATTATTGATAATTAAATCCCATAAAATTTAAGTATATTCTACTGTACTATAGAAATTTATCTAAATTTCACTATTCCCGTATTTATATATATATATATTTCTCTCTCTCTCTCTTATTATATACTTGGATTTGCTTATTAAGGACCCCCTTCCCGAAAAGAAACAAAACAAGCAGTGGATTTCCCATTTTGGAAAATAAACAATCATCTTCAGCAAATCAAGAATAACAAATAATCACTGTATTCCCAGTTTTTTGTTTATCTCCACCCAGTTCCACTGCACCCCAGAGTTCCCAACGATACGCACTTCACACTTCGGGGCGTCGCCGTTGAACTTTTTGAACGGCGCGCACTTCGGCGCAGGCCCCGGAGTGGGGTCATTTGGCGCGCAACGGCACAACTGGTTGGAATGGACCAGCAATTGATGTTTGATAGTAATCAAATCCCTATATGAGCAATCTCGAAAAACCTAGGTTCATGGAAAGGACATCCACAAATTTGGGAAGGTCCTATCGCTTACCACACGTTTGTTAATGATATATCATAAACTTGGGGGGTATCGCTTTCAGGAAACTGCAACATTTATATATATATATATATATATAATTTATTTACAGAAATCAACGTCCAATTTGGGTATCGCTAATGTGGATATTAGAGAAATGCCAGTAGTACCACACAAGGCGGTGGCGGAAGTTTCAAACATAGGAAACCTATAGGAGAGGTTGGTTATTGTGACTCACGGATGGCAGAGCGAATCCACTGATGGACGGAAAGGTGATTGATCTCTCTCACTCTTTCTCTCTCTTTTGCTCTCTTTCTCTCTCTCTCTCTCTTTCTCTCTCTTTCTCTCTCTTTCTCTGATTATCTACCTACCTACCTACCTACCTACCGATCTATCCATCTATCTATCGATCGATCTATCTAATCTAATCTAATCTAATTTAATCTAATCTATCTATCTATCTATCTATCTATCTCTCGGTCTGTCTGTCTATCTACCTGTCTATCTGCAAGCTTGAAAACCTTGCTATTTTTCCCAAGTTGACAACATCAAAAACGCAGCACTTCTGCGAGACTTCCTCATTTTTGAAGTTGACAACATCAAAAACAAAGCAATTCTGCGAGACCTCCTCATTTTTTGAAGTTGACCACATCAAAAACAAAGCAAGTCTGCGAGACTTCCTTCAGAAATGGAAATTTGAGTGCAGAGCTAACAGCTTCGTACCGATGCGTTTTGTGTTTTGCGATTTTTCCAGTCCACCTGTCGAAAGTACTGCGCCTGCCACGAAAAAGTGATGCCAAGTCAAACGAAGTGCTGCACCTGTCACGCAAAATCATCTCAGCAAACCTGAAGATCTGATGCTCCAAAATGCAGCCCCTTTCAGGAAATCAGCGCCCTGACCTCCTAACATCTCTGATGAACATGTCTTTTGTACTGCGCCTGCCACGCAAAAGCACATCTGAACGTCCAAAAGTGCTCCGTGCCCCTCAGTTTTTTGCACTTTTGACTTTGAAATGTGCTTCGCGCCACAACGGAGTGCACTTTTTCGACATCGCAACTTCTACAAGTGGTTCGAAGCTGGTGTGTTTTGTACATTTTGACTTCGAAATGTGCTTCGCGCCGTAACAGCGTGCAATTTTTCATCTATCATCTGGCCAGATGGCTCCGCGCCCGCCGCTTTAGCGAGCCTACTTTTCGACCCTCCTGAGCTACAAATCATTGGAACAACACAATGTTTCGCGACTTTCCTACCTTTTCGCGCATCTGTTCTCTATTCTACTCTTCTCTTCTCTCTGACTCTTCCCATCTCTGCTTTTCATCTGTCCATATTGTCGGAAGTTTGACTTCTAAACTTCCTTCGGCAATGACATAACCTTGAAAAGGGGTATCGCTAATTTGGGAAGGTCCCATCGCTTACCGTGTGTCCGTCCAATACATACTTAAGCGATGGGACCTTCCCAAACCAAGTGGCAATAATTCAATAATTATTACCTCAAACAATAAGCCATGTAGGGATAGTTTCCTTTACTCACCATCGTTTACGTTGTGACGTCGCAACATGAGATTGCTTTAATCGATCAACATGTTTGGTTGAACCATTTCTGCTGGTTGGAGAAACAAAAAAACTCTCATGGGTACGTCATGATAAGTCCCATGGATAGATATGAGTAGCATGCATAGATCCCTGCGGATAGGTTACACTTGTTAAATAGCAATAACAATTTTATGGCACAATAACCATCAATAACCTATAACCACCCCCCACAAAGATAGAAACAACTACACAAAAATACCAAAACACTAGTTTTGTGGGATTCTATACTATGACCTAATCCCGTTTTTTGTTGATAACTATACTAATGCCATAATTTTTGATGTGGTCCAGGTTTTCCCAACCTTTCCATCCTTCGTCGCCTTTCGGCGGCCATCACAAGGAGCACTTGTAGTTGGCATCGTCGCTGAAATCTCTTCCAAACAAACACGGCGGAGCCGACTCAATGCCTTGATCCAACACCTGGCCGCGAAACATGTGGGATGTTGCTGCCTAAAAAAAAAACGGCATCCAAAAAAAATGTATATATTAAGGAACCCCAGAGGTTGATAGAATGGTGAAATCCTACTCAAAAATAGTGGGAAATGTTGATGTCGTTGGCAAACTCAACTACAATCACTGTTGATCACTGTTTATAGTGGATATTTGTCTTGATTTGAATGGGGAAAAATCAACACCAACTTAAAACTGAGGACGGCCACTTTGTTCCTCCCTTGAAAGGTGTTTTTGTTGGGGGACATCGGGTATAGCCATGGCGAAGCAGACAGGTTTTTGCTCATATGCCCCTGTAACTCGAAACAAATCTAAGTTACCTTCCGTTGAACTTAAGTAGTCCTTCATCTACCTCGTGATGAGTACTTCCAATACATGTCCAGAATATGTCGTGATTCTTACTTCAGTTCAACAGCAAACCCCATAAATGGATATAATGGGCCGTATTCAATAGGAAAATGCGTGAACATGTGCCCCAAGTTTGATGATCGCTGGGTGCCCCGAACGACGGGCAGCTTCACCTGCCAGCTTCCGGTGCTTAAGCAGTGCCCAATCCACCTTTCAACAATGGGTTTCCTGGGAAAATCTGAAGGAAAGCCTGGTCTTTACACGTTTTTAAGACCAAATGTGCAGTTTTCATGACATTTTCCTACCAAGTACAAGATATGAACATGCCCTTCCAACTCGTTGCTTGGTGGTTAGGATCTTGGATTGAGCATGGCTGAGGAAAAGCATGATGAGATGCCAATAATCTCCAGCAAACAAATAGGCAATATGCAATCCACAGTGCGAATGGTGTTTTGTATGAACACCTTTCCAAGCCAACCGTGGATGCCCAGCAAAAAACATATTTAATTTCTTAGCAACATATCATATCCCTCACTACTCCTCCATTTATCATGTTTCTTCCCCATATTTTTCCTCTCACAATACCCTCTTGCTGTGTTCGATGTACATCGCCCACAAGATCCAAGGAACTTCCACATCTCCCCAGTGATGATTAACAAAAAAACATACAGGATGGGACCCCCAAAATAGCTAAGTTGGTTTATAAGTGGCTGAATTCTATGGTTTATGGTAGATATAACTATAGTTAATGGGGATTATACTGGTTTATAAACCAACTTATAACTGGGGGGCCCCATCCTGTAGGAATTCATGATTTGGGTTGGTTTAATAGCAGCCAGCCAGCATCCATGACACTAATGGTCGTTTTATATGCATTTCTCATTGTTTCTTCCTGATTTTCACGAAAAAATGCCATGAACATGTGAACATGTTTAACTGCAGTCGACCATCATGGTCCCACTGTTCGAATCGCCATGGGATCTTAAATCCCTTCGAAAAAACCATTGAAATCCACCCATGTTAACCGCCTCCCGGGCAGGCACAGCAGCGAGGCTGAACGGACCTGGGTCATCTTTGGGCTTCCAGGCGGGGTCTTGGGGGTCATCTTTGGGCCCAAAAAATGATGGTGAATAGCTAATATACTGATATAATAACATATACCCCTCTGGTAAATTAACTTGTTGACCCTGAAAATCACCTATTTTTAGTAGAAACGATTTTCTTCCAAATCCTATCTGGCAGGGTCTATGTTAATTTACTGGAGGGTACATTAGCTAATAGTTAATGATATTAATTAGCTAGTACTATATATATATATACAATAGTTAATGATATTTCATAGTTACTAATAGTGAATGGTGACTTTTATTAATATACTCATAGTTAATAACGGTTAGTGATTCATAGCTAACATACTAATAGTTGATAGTACGCATGATTAATAGTACTGATAGTATCTGATAGTTGTGTTTTCTTTAAAGAAAACAAGATATGATAGGGATGATAGTCATAGGGATACAGCAAATAGTCTCTATCAGAGTGAACAGAAACTGGTTTATCACTGAAGATATAGTTGATGGTTAAAAGGAAAACTAGGATGACAATGATGATCAATGATAACTATCCCAACTATTAACTGTTAACCACCCCTATTGACTATTTGATATCACCTGTTCATGGTTAATGATTCATAGGGACAATACAGTGGGAAAAACAGCGAAAAAATATGGCACTGGGAATTCCTCCATTAAGCAACGTCAATGAGAGACATCCCCATCATACATCATAAAACAATAGCATTTCCTCTGTGCGGAAGGCGTTCCATCAACCTGGTACCTTGGCAGTGGGTACTTAGAGTCTTAGAGTTTTGGCGGTTACATCTTTGCATTGTATCTTGGATTTTCTTAAGGGGGCTCACAAAAGAAAAGAACACTATTCCCTATAGATTCTCCAAATTGTGGATTTGCCCATGGGTAATTAAAACATCACCAAACAAACCCAGAATAGCTGGGCTCAGTGCAAGTAGCAACCGTTTAGATGCCGGACCATTGGGTGACCATGCCACCAGTGTCCAAGTTGCTGGGCAAAGGCGTAGGCAAAGGAGTGTTGGAGCAGGAGGAATTCCTCGAGGGAAACAACCGGGTGGTTGAGCCAAGCTGCCATCATAGGGAACAAAAAACATCCTGGTTGGTGGCTGAGCCCTACCCCTCTGAAAAATATGGTTAATATTATACTGTCAATAATGGTTAATAAGTATATATATATATCATATGGTTATTATATGAGTTAATGATGGTTAATAATGACTTGTTGGTGCTATACCTACCCCTCTGAAAATGATGGATTTCGTCAGTTGGTATGATGAAATTCCCAAGATATGGAAAAATAAAAGCCATGTTCCAAAGCACCAACCAGAAACCCAAGACCTGAAATAAAATATAAGAAACAATGATTCGGATGATACCTCTTGCTAAGCATGATCCATTTTTTGGCTTCGTTGTGAGGTTGTGTTTTGGGTTTGCTACACGTACGGAGCGGACTTGATTTTTACGTTTACTCAACTGATGAGCCGTCACAAATTGATCACAAACAAAGAGGTCTTTTTAAGCAACACAAAGGACACCGCTTGACCGTCAAGAAACATAACCATAATAACAATCATTCAAAATAACTGTAATGTCCACCCACGGTGCATTTTATTGAAGGCCATTCAATTTGCACCAAGGATCTTCTCCACCCAAACCCAGAGGTGACTTCTTTGGTCATCTATATCACGATAGAATGGATTGTCCAGCTATATTAGTCCAGGTATTTTGGATTCTACTTCATTTATATGCTTCAAACTTGTGGGCCCCCGAAATCAATACTTGGTAGATGGGGACCACAAGTTCTCTGGCCAACTGCGACGAAATATTCACCACCAATGGGGATTTCATGGTTGAACCCAGGCTATTCCTCATTATTCCTCCCAGTTTTGGCTAAAAATTAAGAGAAAATGATGACGAACCATGAAATTTTTGGGTACCCGACTTTCAGACCCCACGAAAAAATGGCATCCCGGCCCATCCCCCAAGCCATCAACCCCCCATGTGCGGAGCTTCTGTGATGGGCACTCCCGCACTTTCAACGCCGGCGCAAGGTGCGCCTTGGGAAAAATCTGGCAGCTAACCTGGAGGTTAATCACATGTGCACCTGATTTCCTACAAGCTTGTGGTCCAAAAGTTGTTTGAAATAACTCATATATCTGGTGTTTATGGCAACTAATAGCAACGTTGAAACACCAAGATAATCAAGTTTTGACTTGGGGCAACAACTTGCAGATGTGTAGGTAGCGACTGCTCATTCCCTGAATTTGTTTAAGTTGGAGTCTAACTTGTTTTTTTCCCTCCTTGAGCAGGAAACCATAGGAAACCGTATGTTTGATGGTGGAAGCATGTGGAAACATGTGGAAACATTGGCAATTATTGATTAACGGGCCTTTGCCGGCCTTTCCGGGCTTTCAAAAGGGTGTTATTGGAGTGATTCCTGGTGAACAGATATTTGCCGGCTTAAATCTTTTGATCTTTGACGTGAGCGACGTGAGGGATGTAGATCCCAGTTATATGAGGTGAACATCACCTACTTGTGCATACCATCTGCTGCATTGAGAGATCATAGTGTACTTATACTTGGCTCCATGTTGCATTTGGGGGATGGAAAGGGATGTCTCAAACAAAACTGGTGGGCTCAAAAAAATGTGCTGGCGGATAGCATCGATAGCATCATACCAAAATCCCTAGTAAACTCATAATTATACAGTAACCCCGGCTACATCATGGGCAGAATTAGGAACAAAGCCAACTGGTGTAAAAGCATGTCGTGGTCTTTCGTTCCACTCTATAGTGCTTATATGATCTTATATGCGTACTATGTTCTTGACGGTGAAAACATTTTAATAAATGGGTCATATGGTCAAATCATAAGATCTCGTTCCTTTTCATCTTTCTCAATTTATCTCGGATCAAAATCATTCTTCAATGTTGCCGTATTTCCCCAGCTGAAGCTGAACCCAGGTACCCAGCGGCCCAAACATCTTGAAACAATGTTTGATGCGGTGAAATGCAACACATATATGGGCCAGATGGGTGTCTGGAACTGGGGCACACGTGAAACCACCGGATATTGGGCTGCCCAATTTCAATCCTGTACGTTATGTATAGCCTGTATACCTCGTATCTTGGGTGATGCTGTGGGGTTTCAAGGCTCGTCGTGAGTCTTGCCTATGCCCCAAAATATCTCCTGTGAAGAGTGTGAAGCTAATCTCATTGGATCATTCACAGGACCCGCAACATAGGTGGTTCTACCCCACTTTCCGTCAACCCCCAAAGATCTATGCCAAAAAAAAATGCCCAAAGTGATCCCAAATACATGTTTCAGTCAAAGAACGGAAGTCCATAATTGACTTCAAAATTTCCAAGGACTACAACTATAAGAGTTATATATGAATCTATTATATCATATTATATCATGTTATATGCCAACTTTATGGGAGCTCTTACCATACGTTAGACCATCGTCACCACCATTTTGGAGGGCCAAACTCCTAAAGACCTGAACTGAACTTCTTGAGCATCCCCGCTATGCGTTGTATTCGCCTCGAGGCACATTTGTTCATCGATGTTTCAGGGTGCCGAAATGGGACATGGGATATACCGATATACCCCAAAATTGTGACCTGAAATTCCGGAAACAGGTTTTAAACCAGCACATGTCTCTTTGAGTTAAACTTGGACTTGTCACTGGGTGGATTTAAAGGCGAAAAATGCATGGGAAAAAGTTTTGGTTCTATTTACCATAATTCAACGCAAGTTTTCCATCATCTTGAGGGAACTTGGCATGTCATAAGTCAGAAAACGCATCAAGATTTGCAGGGGTCTGTAATCAATGTTTATCTGTAATCTATGTATATACAAATAATATGTATATATTTATCTACCAAATCCCGACATCGCAACAAGAAACCATCAGTCATCGACACCTTATCCCGAGAAATCTATGTGAGTTGGCTTGATTAGGAGAAAAACAACACGTGGCGGACCCAAATGTTGGTAAAACAAAAAAACTGAGGTTTGTGTCATTTGGAAATCCAGCACAATGACTTCAACATGTCCACAGCATCTCATCTTGTTCCCTACAGTATCGCCTCTGTGCCCGAATCATAGGACACCATACTAAGCCTCCCCAAGCACCATACTAAGCTCCCAACTTCGCGGCTCATCCCAGGTGTTGTTTTTGTATGCTCAACGCAGATATATCCCTCTAATTCTGCAGTAGTATCTGTTGGTTTTAGTTTTAATAGCACGTATTCGGTGGAAATACTGCCTATCTCGGATACCTTGCACAAACATGTCGTCAAACATGATCCAAAAACATCTGAAACATGTGTGTTCCTGATTCGTGAATACTGACACGTAAACGGACAAACAAATAAAGGACTTAAGGTTTAAGTATCATCTACATCCATCTATTCTTCCCCATCCATCTATTCGTTAATCCAAGTTTCCGCAGAACATGATGCACATGTTCCATGGATTTTCCAACCTTTTTCTTCGGGCCCTAGGGCCACATCTCCAGGTTCTGGGTTCCCCTCACTTTTCTTTGATGGAATCCGTAGAGCCAGCTCGGGACCTCCCGAGAGCGCAGCGAGAGCTGCGCTCATGACTGGGGCCAAGCGAAACCTTCAGGCAAACATCTGAAGTTTTATGTTTTTTTTAATGATGTCTGACGTTGAGGCATTGCTCCTCATATATTTTAGGAAACAATGTACATGGTAAACACTCAATTTTGCTGGGATCTAGATCAAGCAAACGAGGTGAATGACGCAGCCTGTAAAACTGTAAATGTTCAAAACAAACCCAGAAACAGGTTTGGACGATGAGCCTCTTGATTGTCCACAATTGTGCCATTGCATTCTTACGTTTTCCGAGTTGAACATGCGAAACATACGCTGCTAAACCTTGGCTATATGCACTTGCAGTAAGAAAACAACATTAATTATACAAACCATTGATAGCAAGACGTCTGACCCCTAAACTACTCTAAACTGAGGTTTACCGGCCAGCCGGGCCTCTCAGGTGTTTGGTCATTTCATTTCGCCAAACGATGCCAAACTTTGGGGTGAAATGGGCCTCATGCATTAACCTGTCAGGCTCAGAATTTTAGATATTTACAGGGTAGATCAACGATTGATTTTAGCCGAAATAGTTCATGGATTTTAGCCCGGGTTAGATTCTGCCACTCCCGATCACTCCAAATTACTTCCTACTCCCAGCAACTGCTAGCAGCATCACAACTGGTAGTGAAGAGCAGTCTATGTGACATCAGTGACAGCCTACTGGTCGACTGGAAGGACATTGAAAGCCACTGGGAAATTGCACCATGGCTGGGGTCAAAAAAACGACAACAGCCAGGTGCAGCTTTCAGGTAGAGGAAGTAGTTGGTATGTTAGGAAAGTCGTCACCTATACCCTTGGGTGTATCACATGGTATCCTTCCCCCCAATCTCAAGTACAAACCAGTAATTAGTAATAGCATCCTTCCCCTTCAAAAGAACCCTCCAGTAGTCCCTGATTTTGTATTGGATCTATGCCACAAAATTGGATTGCCATTACATTCTTCAAAGTTGTGCCCCGAGATTATCGCTTGAATGGTTAGTATACAACCCTTGGAATAGTAAGATCTGTAAGTTGCATGCCAACTACCCTCTGTTAAACTAACATAGCTATTGAACATGGCCATAGAAATCGTTGATTTCCCCAAAAACATGGTGATGTCCCATAGTTTTTTGTATGTTTACCAAAGGGTAAGTGAAATTAAATCATCATTAATCACCGTTATTAACCATCATTAACCACCATTAATCACTATTAATCACCATTAATCTACCTACTTCTTCAAACCATACGATTGTGCGCCTGGCCGTCAGGGCTTTCCTGGCCAAGGTGAAGGTTTTCCATCCATCCACACAATGCGCATATGCTTATTTTAAATAAAACATATATATATATATACAAAATAAACATAAATAAATAACATATATAACATATATATATATGTAAATATATAGTACAGTAAATTGATTGTATAGGAATATGTAGGTGCCCCCGGTAATAACAGAACAATGATTCCAGGATGGGACTTCGATTGTGTTTACCGTACAACTCCAAGGTTTGCAACTTTTGTGTCTTTCAGGCCATTTTGGAGATGATTCCCACAGATCCAATTCCCATCGTTTCAGTGACGGAAAACGACGTGAGGTCATCATCATTCATCAATATGTTTATATATATATATAGAATGTCTTGTATATGTATATATATATATATAACTAAATAAACAAATATATATATATATGTATATGACATTCCAAATCATCTCTAATATTCCATTACACCCCACTACATCTACGTTCCCATTTTAAAATTGTTCTCAACACGCCCAAATTAAATTTCTCCATGAATATTCCAATCGGATACTGTGGATGGCAGAAATCCTGCACCACCTTGGATGGTTGAAACCCTATAAATAATGAGATAAACCATCTATCAACTGGTGCCGGATTTCTTCCATCCACAATATGTCTTCATATTCCGCAGATTTTTGAAGATATTCCATAATCTTTACCATTTTTGTATGATATTTATTGGATAATCATAAGTTGTTTGTCCCATTTTTATTGGTCCCATGTTTATTGGATATTCATAGGGTATTGATCCCATTTTTATTGGGTATTCATAGGGTGTTTATCCCATTTTAATTGGATGTTCATAGGGTGTTTTATCCAACTTTTATATATTTTTATTGGATATTCATAGGGTGTTTTATCCCATGTTTATTGCATATTCACATGGTGTTTTATCCCATGTTTATTTGATATTCATAGGGTGGTTATCCCATGTTTGTTGGATACTCATAGGGTGTTTAGCCCATTTGTATTGCATATTCATAGGGTGGTTATCCCATTTCTATTAGATATTCATAGGGTGTTTACCCCATTTTTATTGCATATTCACAGGGTGTTTTATCCCATGTTTATTTGATATTCATAGGGTGGTTATCCCATGTTTATTTGATATTCATAGGGTGGTTATCCAATCTTTATTGAATATTCACAGGGTGCTGGTTTCCCATTTCTTATTGGATATGCATAGGGTGTTTATCTCATTTTTATTGGATATTCATAGGGTGTTTATCCCATTGTTATTGGATATTCATAGGGTGGTTATCCCATTTTTATTGGATATTCATAGGGTGTTTATCCAATTGTTATTTGGATATTCAAAGGGTGGTTTATCCCATGTTTATTGCATATTCACAGGGTGCTTTATCCCATTTTTATTGGATTTCATAGGTGGGTTATCCCATTTTTAATGCATTTCATAGGGTGTTTTATCCCATTTTTATTGGATATTCATAGGGTGTTTTATCCCATTTTTATTGGATATGCATAGGGTGTTTTATCCCATTTTTATTGGATATGCATAGGGTGTTTATCCCATTTTGATTGGACAGTCATAGGGTGTTTCATAGGGTGTGTATCCCATTTTTATTGCATATTCATAGAGTGTTTTATTCCATTTTCATTGCATATTCATAATTAGGATGGTTTATGCCCATGTTTATTTGATATTCATAGGGTGTTTATCCGATTTTTATTGCATATTCATAGGGTGGTTATCCCATTTCTATTGGATATTCATAGGGTGTTTACCCCATTTTTATTGCATATTCACAGGTGTTTTATCCCATGCTTATTTGATATTCATAGGGTGGTTCTCCCATTTTAATTGGATATTCATAGGGTGTTTATCCCATTTTTATTGCATATTCATAGGGTGTTTATACCATTTTTATTGGATATTCATAGGGTGTTTATCCAATCTTTATTGAATATTCACAGGGTGTTGTTTTCCCATTTCTTATTGGATATGCATAGGGTGTTTATCCCATTTTGATTGGATATTCATAGGGTGTTTATCCAATTTTTGTTGGATATTCATAGGGTGGTTATCCCATTTTTATTGGATATGCATAGGGTGTTTTATCCCATTTTTATTGGATATTCATAGGGTGTTTATCACATTTTGATTGGATATGCGTAGGGTGTTTATCCCATTTTGGTTGGATATTCATAGGGTGTTTATCCAATCTTTATTGAATATTCACAGGGTGTTGTTTTCCCATTTCTTATTGGATATGCATCGGGTGTTTATCCCATTTTGATTGGATATTCATAGGGTATTGATCCCATTTTTATTGGGTATTCATAGGGTGTTTATCCCATTTTAATTGGATGTTCATAGGGTGTTTATCCCATTTTTATTGCATATTCACAGGGTGTTTTATCCCATGTCTATTTGATATTCATAGGGTGGTTATCCCATTTTTATTGCATATTCATAGGGTGTTTATCCCATTTTTATTGCATATTCATAGGGTGTTTTATCCCATTTTTATTGGATATTCAAAGGGTGTTTATCCCATGTTTATTGAATATTCACAGGGTGTTGTTTTCTCATTTCTTTTTGGATATGCATAGGGTGTTTATCCCATTTTGATTGGACAGTCATAGGGTGTTTCATAGGGTGTGTATCCCATTTTTATTGCATATTCATAGGGTGTTTTATTCCATTTTCATTGCATATTCATAATTAGGATGGTTTATGCCCATGTTTATTTGATATTCATAGGGTGTTTATGTTGTGGATTTCTACAGAAAGCTTCGTCACATCGGCTCTGCTGCTCTGCCTGAAGGATGACCTGCCGGTCTTGCTGGACGTCACTTGCTGGGCATCGCCGCCGGTGCCTCGCAGGAGTCCGCAGGGAGCGCAGTGATCAAGGGTGAGTTTTTTAGTTTTGGGCCCCCCAAACAGGTGGTTTTAATATGTTTTAGCATGGTCTGAGCATGGTCTAAAGCATTCTAAACCACTAACCCTGGTTGAGTCTGGAGGATTCAAGCACTAAAGATGGATTCTATGGTGGGTTTAGCGACTAATACGGTGGATTATGGTGGATTTCAGCTGCCAACGGCGGGACTTGGGCTACAAACCTGGTGGGTTTAAGCCACAAAAAGGGGCTGGGGCAACTGGGCGAACTGTTGGGTTCATGATGCGAATCTACAGTTGAATGGGATGAGTTAAGGGAAGATCTATAGAGAAAACCCAGAACAACCACTGCTCAGGCTGACCCAATAGGCAGCAAAAGGTAGATGTCTCAACTTGAAAAATCCATAGAATTATACGGGGTATGTGTCCAATGGGTAGCACGGAAGAAGCAAGCAACCCGCTACATTGCCCAACCAAGGTTTAACCATGTTTTTTTTCTGAAAGCCCCAACAACACCTTGCCCGCTAATCACCCAAGAACACCTTGGCATTTTTTGTCCGCTGTTTTTATTACTTTTGACTACTTAGCTTATCCACAGAAAACACCAACTGCTAATAGGAAGAAGAGAACGGCTCCATGCTGACTCCATGGCTCAAAGATGGCTCAAAGATCATGGCAAGACTTCAACATCAGGCTGAACCACCTCAAGGCCCATTCGCCACTTACTCAGAATATGTGTTCAAACCCGGCTAAAACCCAGCAAAAAAGAGTTTGATGGGACATCAATTCACTGTTAAGTGATAAGTAGACGCGCTGCTTCGATGCCCACTTTGATGGAGTGCTGTGTCACATGTTCATTATTCCGGATCTCATCCAGAATTCATGATGCACATCCCCTTCACAAGAGTTCCATGAAGACCGACCCAATTCATACTTCCGGATCCCATTAGAGAATAAGCATCATCTAGTGTGAGGTCCTTGTAAATCATACCAACAACGAACTTTGCTTTGCCTAATGGATACTGGGATACCCCCATGATACCCCCCAAATGGCTGTTTGAGTAAGAAAATTGTGGTGAACCATTGGGATTTTGAGATGCCAACCATGGTTGAAGCACCTTCACCTTCCGACCTGAAGCATTCGGTGACCAAGTGGCTGTTGGTGCGAGTGCCCGCCACTACGGGGGAGATGGCTCTTCCTTTCCTCAGGTGTCGTCCAGTTGGGGCATAGGGCATAGCCTCCAGGTAATGAAAACGCATCTACCAAGAAACATCTCTGGTTATGTCAAAAAAGCTATTGAACATGGCCCATTTACAGTTGATTTACATATTAAAAATGGTGATTTTCCATAGCAAACTGTTTTTTTGCCAGAGGGTAATGGTCTGATGTTCGCTTTTTTCTTGCCTTATTTTCGGACATCGCCAGAAACGAACATGGAAGTCGGGGAAATAGCGAACGGACACTATATAGCGAAATTGTTTCCAAATGCACATGGGGCAACTAAACGTTGCACTGCACAGCGGCCATGCATCCAACAGCTCTAACATCCTTGCCCTTCGGCAAGCAAACATGGCGATGGTAATTCCCCCAACCATTTCAATTGGAAAATTGTGGGTTCTCACTCGCCATAAAGGGTACTATATAATCAAGATTATAAAGCAAGGATAAAGAAACCATATGTTGATGGTTTATGCCACCCATTTACGATGAAATTGGGGATGGCTTACTATTATTGCTTTATTCACATTAACCATATATATATATATATATATATTAACCATGAATCCTAACATATCCTAACTTCCAAGGTCAGTCCAAATGCCCCTCAATGACAGCGCAGTCGTAGACTCCACACAATTAGTAGCATGTGAAACAGGGCCCTCACTGATTGCACTAAGCACATCGGAGGTCTTTGGCGATCATGGTGAAACATCGCGAAGAAGTGATTCAAGTCATGTGTCAACATATGTGCGAAAGTCAAAACACAATATATGGAATATGTATAACTATATAAATACGTACATATCTAATTCACATACATATCCAATATCTATATACATACTGCATTTAATATATGATATGTATATATATTATATATATATATGTATTGTTTATGGCAATCCATCCCATCATGGGAATGTTTAAAATGGCTACATCCCAACGGACTGATGACCATCGAGCATCGGCTCTTCCTGCGCTTCCTCCTCCTCCGAATCGCTCATGTAGATCACCTGCTACACAATGGGACGCAGTGGATGTGTATCATTTGGGAACATCCATAAATGGGGATACCCAAGAATGGATGGTTTATAATTTATAATGGAAAATCCTATTATATAAAATGGATACCCTCTGGAAAACTGTCACATAACTATGGAACATCACATTTTTTAAAGGGTGAATCAACGAACTAAATGGGCCATTTTCAATAGCTTTTTGTATGTTTACCAGAGGGTAATTCGGGGGTACCCCTATGACTTAGGAAACCCCCATTTGGGAACATTTTTCGGATGGAAAAAACACATGGATCAAGTCTAAGATGAACCCAACGTGCGGGTTTGACACCCACAAGATGGCAATGTGATTCCATGAAAAAAAACAATAGCTGGTTGGTGGTTGAGCCTACCCCTCTGAAAAATATGAGTTCGTCAGTTGGGATGATGCCATTCCCAACCGAATGGAAAAATAATACAAATGATTACGAATGTTCCAAACCACCAAGCAAATAGGAATGTGAATCGTTAGTAAACTCTCACAAATCGTTATAACAAACAAAAACCAGCTACTATATAACTTCCCTGACCGTGCAAACATGGGAATTTCAGCGACCAAACTAGTAGCTCACTCGACAAAGTTTGACAGCTAAGGTGTCAAAACAGTTTGGGTAGCAAGAATGAAGATTTGAGGCTACTTGGGGGATGCAGTTCGAGCTTCTTAGTAATCCTTTGGTTCTATGGCCACTGACCAAGTGCACCCCTTCTCAAGTACCAAACATAATAATGCCAGTTGTTCATGCAGGGCAACCAAGAAATCGGAATTGTCTTGATTACTGGTTGGTGGTTTCAACCCCTCTGAAAAATATTAGTCAATGGGAAGGATTATCCCATATATTATGGAAAATAAAAAATGTTCCAAACCACCAACCCAGCAGTGTTGTTTGTGGTGATTTGGCTTTCTTGCTTCTTCCTCCCCCATCCTCTCATTATTTGAACATACATACAGATTTGTCAAAACAAAACAGCAAATTTCATGGTTGCTCATCAGTTTTCCTATTGTTAATCCTATTCTCGTAGCCATTGTTCAGTTGCTTGAAACCTCCCCACCTGGTAACCGCCGGTGAGACATGGAAAACCGCAGCAACCGATGACCTCTGTCGGTTGCCTCCGCGGACCAACGAAGGATGAGGAGATCTATACCGTCTACACCAAAAGTTCTTGAGTGCCGGGGGTGTCCTAATATCCTTATATATATTTTTTTTTTTACCCTTTGGTTATTTAACATAGCTATGGAAAATGGCCCATTTATAGATGATTTATGATGATTTACTGTACCTATTAAAAATGGTGATTTTCCATGGCTGCGTTAAATAGGTAAACTATTCTAAAATACGATGCCCCACAAATTTAAAAAACAACCCATGGGTCTACTAATTAATCAGTGACACTACTTGGTTTGCTTGGTTCAACCCCCATGTTGATTGATGTTCTTCGTCCAATTTGAATTTAAGAGTTCTATCGTCTTTTCTTTTTACGTTGATGGACGCATGGCGTATAAGAAGAAAAAACTATCACAGGCCCTGGAATGAGCTGAGAATTGGAAGATGACTTTTCTTTAGATGTGGAACAAGAGACAAATCATCAGAATGGGATTCTATAGTAGTACTTCAACTGCTTGTGGTGTGGCCGAAACCACGTGCCATTCAGCCAACTGCTTGGTCAAATTCAGAGTTTTGTTATATAATGTTATATATTATGTTCTGATGGTTAAGCCATGATAAAAGTGTTATTAAACCCCACATTTCTGTTAATGATATGTATCCCAATGATCCAAAAAAAACTCAACTCCACAGCTTTTATTCGCCACTGCTTTCGGCTCACGGATTTTCGCTGAGCAGCTTGAAGAATTCACCCTTTTTCAACTCTGGCCTTGGTGGGATGAAGCCATCTGAGAGTGAACTGAGTGAACCCCCAAAAGACAGACATGCTTGACAAATACTGGTTGGTGGTTTTAACCATCTTGAAACATATGAAAGTCAATGGGAAGGACTATCCCATATATTATGGAAAATAAAAAATGTTTGAAACCACCAACCAGAATATGTTAGTAAGCCTCGTAAGCCCCTTTAAAATAGGAACGATTAATTATGAAAAACGATGGCTGTTGGATGTTCTTGGTCACCAGGTGGTTGAACCATGTTGAATCTACAGGAGTTCGCTGGATTCCAAACCACTCATCTGAAGCAACACTACCAATTGGCTGGTGACTCTAGAGCCTCCATGGACCATGCAAACATGACTTTCCCCACATAAAATCATCATCTGGTGAATATGAACGTCAGTTCATTACCATTGGAATTGGTCGTGGTACATCAGTATCTACATTAGATTTTTTGATTATATGATTATGCTTAAATCAATGTTTTCATACCTCATGAAAAAGGGAACAAAACAATGACCACAGTCTGCGATTTATGTAACCCCGTGAGGCACCCGTCAACCTCATGGCCAATCTTAGATCGCAAACCAACTTGACTCTTTGAGGGATAACATGAATAATATGTTGTAATATATGTTAATCGGCTATTCTCATTGTTCCCGCAGCACGTGCGCTACGCCCACAGGTACTTCACTATATATACACTGTCATATTTGCAGGGCTTCTTTGGGGTTCCTTTAGGGATTCTTCAGGGTTCATTTAGGGGTTTTCCTGGTGTTTTGTAGGTTTTCTTTAGAGTTTATGTAAAAGGGGCTGAAAGCAGCTTTTGAAAATCAGCCGATTCCCCGCACAGGGCCATGAACCACGTCCCCCACGACTTTCTTCAACAGATTTTGTTTCAAAACTGTGGCTTTGGGCCTCTTGGATCGGGCCGGCCTTTCGTAGTGCTGCTGTTAACCCCGCCGTGCCACTGAACAGCTCTATGCAAAAGAGGGCACGGAGGGGTTTGTCATGGGGTAGTCAATCAGAGTGCTCCCCTCGTGTGTGGGGGGGGCTTTCCGCAGGACTTTTTGCAACAAACATGCAACCCTTTGTTGCATCTCTGACCAGCTTTTGCACGTGTGCATCCCTGGGACAAGTTGTAGTCGAAGCAAATCGGTTCTCCAGAGCGGGTGACATTGGAGTGGCCTAAAAGCTCCTTCGGCATCGGTGTCCTGGTTGTCTTGGATTTGCTCTTGCCGCCCTTGCCACACATCCTTTTCCAGCTCCCTTGCCCTTTGGTGAAGGCTTCGGTCGTCCGCCCGGCTGTGGTTTTGGCTCGCCATCTGCTGATCTCTTGGTCTGATTGCCCATAGGCCTGGGATAGCACAAGTTCTGGCCGTAATTGTGTTTCTCTCAATATCTTGGCATCAAAAAAAACCCGAACCGCATCTAAGAATTGGTAATTCCCGCTACCAAGCACCGGCAAGCAATGTAACCCTTTAAGGATTGGTCTGCACATAGGCTGGTCATGATGATGATAGCAACGCAGTTTTGAGCCAGTTTACATCCGCTTACCCTCAGCTACTCAAACCTGTCAATGGAAAACCCCACATTTTATGATTTCTCCAAAATGAAGCTCCATTAGAAATAGAGAAATTGATTTGGGGATCTTTTGGGATATTTGGAAAACTCCAAACTCCAAAATCTCCATGTAAATCATTTTATGGGTTAGTTGTAGCCATCCCCAATGCCCACGCGCATTAAGCGCCCACTGTGCCAAGGATCAATGTGGGGCCATCCATGACGCGATCGCCCAGAGGCTTCCAACGCCCGGCCGCATCTACATCCTGGGTCTAAACTGATTCACCACTGGGAACCTACCCTCTGGTAAACCAACATAGCTATTGAAAATGGCCATTTACAGTTGATTTTCCCATAAAACATGGTGATTTTCCATAGTTTTTTGTATGTTTACCAGAGGGTAACCGGCAAAAAATGCTATTGGTTTGACCAACAGTGAACCAAAAAAAAACTTGTTTAGGGGGAGAAGAATCTGATAACAACTCCAAATACCTTCTGAAACTATATTTCCCCACCTGCCAGGTGAGGGTTGTTAGATTTTATCAGAGCTGTTCTCCTCCTCCTCCGCCTCCGCATCCTCCTCCTCCATCTCCTCCTCTCCTCCTCCTCGCAGTCCAGATCCCAGTGGGCAACAGCCGGACCTCCACCGCGAGCTCGAGATCCCAGTGGGCACTGCCGGACCTCCACCGCGAGCTCGAGATCCCAGTGGGCACTGCCGGACCTCAACCGCGAGCTCCAGATCCCAGTGGGCACTGCCGGACCTCAACCGCGAGTTGCAGATCGCAGTGGGCACTGCCGGACCTCAACTGCGACTTCCAGGTCGCAGTGGGCACTGCCGGACCTCAACCGCGAGCTCCAGATCCCAGTGGGCACTGCCGGACCTCAACCGTGAGCTCCAGATCCCAGTGGGCACTGCCGGACCTCAACCGCGACTTCCAGGTCGCAGTGGGCACTGCCGGACCTCAACCGCGACTTCCAGATCGCAGTGGGCACTGCCGGACCTCAACCGCGACTTCCAGATCGCAGTGGGCACTGCCGGACCTCAACGGGGAAGAAAAGATGTCAGATAGAATGTCAGAAGATATGCCAGATAGAATGCCAGAAAGAATGTCAGAAAGAATGAAGATATGCCAGACAGAATGTCAGAAGATATGCCAGAAAGAATGTCAGAAGATATGTCAGATAGAATGTCAGAAGATATGCCAGATAGAATGCCAGAAAAAATGTCAGAAGATATGCCAGATAGAATGTCAGATAGAATGCCAGAAGGTTTGCCAGATAGAATGCCAGGAGATTTGCCAGATAGAATGCCAGAAGATATGCCAGAAGATATGCCAGATAGAATGCCAGATAGAATGCCAGAAGATATGTCAGATAGAATGCCAGAAGATATGCCAGATAGAATGCCAGAAGATTTGCCAGAAGATATGTCAGAAGATATGCCAGAAGATATGTCAGAATATATGCCAGAAGATATGTCAGATAGAATGCCAGAAGATATGTCAGAATATATTCCAGAAGATATGCCAGATAGAATGCCAGAAGATATGTCAGATAGAATGCCAGAAGATATGCCAGATAGAATGCCAGAAGATTTGCCAGATAGAATGCCAGAAGAAATGCCAGAAGATATGCCAGATAGAATGCCAGAAGATATGTCAGATAGAATGCCAGAAGATATGCCAGATAGAATGCCAGAAGATATGCCAGAAGATATGCCAGATGGAATGTCAGATAGAATGCCAGAAGATATGTCAGATAGAATGCCAGAAGATATGTCAGATAGAATGCCAGAAGATTTGCCAGTAAGAAAATGTATAAATGCCATGGTGGGGATCATTCGAAGTGAAGTAATTGAGGGTTGTTTTTTGGGTCGAAACATGTCCAAACACCTTCGAGAAAAGGGTATTTCGAGCACTAGGGCCAAAAAAAAGGGGAAGAACATAGACACATGATAAAACCTACAAACCAAACAAAAACAATCGGGATAATGTAGTCACTAGATATCGTGATATTGTGAGGCGATTGTATAGTGATTGGTGGATATGGATTCCTGACATGGATCATCGATTCCCGCTCATGCTGAATCCCTATCCAATCTTCACCCTGCATGTCTGCAATGCAAGCCTTTTCAAGAGCCCAGAAGGACGAAGACAAACATTGATTAACTATTGGATATGGGGTGACACAAGGTTAGGAAGGTCTATCATGTTCAAAGGCTGAGCGTCCGCTTCCTCCAAGGTTCCTATTTCCGCGGGTATTTCCGCATCACTTGTTTGAGGGGCTCCGGAAAAAGTGGAACTATCTTGGGGGCCCTGTGATACTATGGTTTTCTATTGAACAACGATGAAAGAAAAAACACTTGCAGTAACTTTTTTTTGTGGTCAGCCATTCAGTGTTTGGGGACTAAGACGCAACAATAAACAAATGCAAAATCAATCGGAATCCAAATTATACTTACATCTGCTGTATCAATGGTTGAACATGTTGCAACGAAACGTTTATATACATTTTTTGGGTATGGAGCCCAACCTAAAAAAATAAGGACAGAATTCCATTCCAAATGAATTACCCTTCCAATGCCATTCAGATTTTAGCGTCACCGGCAGCCAAGAGACATAGGCATACTCAGGCTTGAGCGTCACCTGAGCGACTGAAAGTTACACCCCACTCAACTGTTCGACTTGGAGGTTTCTCCGAATCATCGTTGAACATGAAGAAAAAACAAATACCCCAGCCATTTTTCCTACACAAGCTGCAGCTGAAACATGACGTTCTATTCTTGAAGGTTGAACGTCTTCCATCACTGCAAACAAAAAGAAAAAACAATGGTTTACCCTCTGGTAAACTAACAGTTAAAATCACCATCTTTAATAGGTAAATCAACGAACTAAATGGGCCATCTATACCATAGCTATGTTACTGTAGTCATTACCAGAGGGTAGTCAAATGCAAAATCATGTGGTTGGATAAACTCTTCGTAGCTGCTTGGCTCCCTATTTTATTTCGGGAATATGGCTACCCCAAACGCTCCAAACAGCATTGGATAATATAAATCCATACGAATTCATGATTGATTCATGGTTCAATCCCAACCCCACTCTATTCCACCAATATATACCATTGTAAATGGTATCTCATTATATAAATTACAATTAATATCACATTAAATATTTCAAAATATCCCAATTGCCATCGCATTCCCGTTCCATCCCATTCATATCTCATTAAATTACCAAACCACATCGCTTTGTCGGGCTGATTTTTGCCAAGATTCCGTTGTGTATCCTAAGTGCGGATGACATCTGTGACCAGTGAGGAGAAAACCCAGTAAATTACCATCGAACATATGGAACACCAAGCAAATTGTAGCTCATTTTTCGAGAGAATCACTATTTATAATCATCTATATCTATATCATATCATCTATATCTATATCATATCACTATTTATATCTATATCATATCTACTGTATACCATACGTATTTACATCATATCAGATCATATATCACTATCTTTATCTCTATGCTATTTTGAGAAGGGTTTTTGTTCTGGCATATTTCAAAGGATCTGATGCAGTCGTCCAACCCTCCCCCGGCGTGAAAGGAACACCTTTAGTGCGGCGCGTTCGGCAGCTCTGGGGATTTTTGTGTGTGATCCATTCAATGGTCCCCAAAAAAAATCCAACAGATAAAAAGTAATACCCGGCCTGGTTATGTCAGACATAGCGAACTGGAAAATGACCAGTGACTATAGTGGATTTTCCCATTGAACATGGTGTTTTTCCAAAATTTCCAAAGTTATGTTAGTTTACCAGAGGGTACTATCATAGTAGGGTTGGTTGGCCCCCAAGCAGCATCCCCAGTGCAGCCAGGACAAGGCGCCTTGTTTTTTCAGAGGATGTTCATGGATTTCCCATGTAAAAAATAGCCATTAATATGGGGTTTTTTATTGTCCCTTCAAAATGAACATATAAATCTAGCAAAATCTTACCCATATTTCAAGGCTGATCATATTCCATGCCGAAAATTGGAAAATAATGATTCACCAACTTGCTTCTGCATGAAACACCCTTCAATATTGACAAAGACCTCCTGTATCACCATGCACTCGCACAAAAAACAAAACATTCACACCAAAACAAGACCACACCCAATCAACTAACATCAACAATTAATATTCAAATTTAGCAACTAACGATATTCGAATTACATAAATAAATTACATATATGTATCAAACCCAAAAATGACTTTAGTTGGCGCTTGCTCTCACTAAACTGATGGGCCTTGATTGGTCCTTGCTTCATCCTTCCACATGAACCTTGCCGGGGCGTCTAAAAATGGGGGATCCCCAAAACAAAAGTTTTACTCTCCAGTAAATTAACATAGACCCTGGCAGTCATCGGGGCTGGAAGATTAGTTTCCACTAAACATGGGTTATTTTCAGGGTCAACAAGTTAATTTACCAGAGGGTAATACTGACCTAATGACTGGATGATTTGGGGTATCCGTATTTTAGGGAACCTCCATTCTGATTCATTCTGATCTTCTGATCCATTAATTTTTGGACAAACAAATGTAGTTTCATCGGGAGTACCCGCACCTGCGATAATTATTCAAAGCCCAAATTTCCGGGCAAAGTCCACCTCTCTCGTAGGGCTTTAGTCCTGCATGTGGCCATGTTCAATATTGTTCAATCCCTGGCACATGATATAGAGACAACCCTTTTAGCAAAAAAAACTGGGTTCAATGGAATTTCAGGATCCTAAAATGGAGGTACTGTACCATATAAGGGCATATTTTCTAGGGATATTCCCTTACATAGGCCTTATATAGGCCATATATATGGTAGGTACCTCCAATTTAGGTTCCTGAAATGGCCATTGTTTATCGGATTGCACATTGAATTACATCTGGTACACGTTTGAACTCGACTTTGGAAGTTGCCCTCCAGCAATCGATCGTGGCAATATGTGGCAATGGACAATCCTCATAGATGTTCCCAGATATCAAGTTCGATTTCGTTCGGGGTGTTCCATTGCCACCATTGATTGGGTAATTTTTGACCGTCCCAAAGTTGGTTGGGGCCCCACGTGGTGGCTCCAAGCTGCTACTCTCAGGTTGTTCATCCATGAGTGCGAAGGGATCGAACGCCATCTCGCTCTGTACTGGCTCTCCCTCCTGCGACAGTCTGCGACGAAAATTTCCGGATGGTGGGTCGAATCACCCCAGTGGTCACTGGACTAAGCCTACTTAGTGATACTTACCCTAAAACTGGGGTTGTAACAAGGTTATAACATGTTATAACATGTTTATAACCACTGCTAATAAGCCACTTACTGGGATGAACATGATGAACCACCAAGTCCATCTCTGAGTAAACAACCAGTGGGAACAGGTTGTCAAGGGACCATGGTCGATTCTAGATTAGTCGAGGTGCCTGCGAGGTAGCCTAAGAAGAAACGGGAACACGCGGCAATCCGGTTGGTTGTTTGATTCATAGGAATGTTCAGCACCATCTTTAGCAACACTTCTCTAACATGTTCTTAGAAAAAGAAACTAAAGGAAAATAAAGGAAACACATGACTGACCTTAGACATAGGGGAACCATGGCTGAGCTATTTTTTGAGTTGGATATGAGATATATCACACCGTGATCAAAAAATCATCTCCAACCAAAGCAAGATTTACTGGGATGATCCCCAGAGTTAGGTGGCAACTGGTGTCCATGGTGCGTTGACCTAACAGATCCCGATCTACGAAAACCGTGTATCCACTGTATCCACCATGAAATTCCAAGCGAAGGACATATCCAAGTTCAAAGTTCTCAGACACAGATTCCTACAATTAGTGAGGCCCCCGTTAGATAGCTAAGTTGGTGCAAATAACTCCAATAACTATGGTTTATGGTACGAAAATAACTATAGTTACTGGGGCTTATAAACCAACTTATAACTGGGGGGTCTCACATTGTAGCTCAGAGCATTGGAGCAAGGCGAGCTTGACACCTTGACCACAAAACATCGTCAAGACGTTGGCCCTTGCAGAGACAGCAATGGCCGACTGCTGGTCCATCATATCCCGTAAATTCAAACGCCATGTTGCTCAATTACATGGTCACTTAAGATGACCAATCTTGCAGGAAAGGTCCCCCAGTGTTTTTTGTTGGTCTGAAACCCAATCTAACTAAAAGATATTGTATCTTATATAGCACTGAAAGCCGAGTGATTGCATTTTTGTTGTTTACCAACTGATCTATCAAGGACCCTTCCTGACAGCTGGGTTAGTTCTTTCCAAGTCCTATGGATCCAGCCATTCCTCTCCGGGGTCAGCGGTTCCTTCTCAGGAAATACCTGGATCCATAGGGAAAGGTCTACCGGCAACGTGCCATCTGAGTACCAGATTCTCACTATTTTTGAGGAACCCCATATAAATCAACAGGGGTTTATTAACATTTATTAACCATATACCCATGGTAGTTAGTTAAATCCACCATTCTTGCAATGTGAAATCCCATCTTGGATAGTGGAATCTCATTTTTGCAAGGTCCAATCTCATTTTTGGATGCCAACAATCCAATTTTCTGGAGGGTATTTCATCCCGTCAATCCCATAAATCACGGATAGATTTCCATTTTGTTTTTTTGGAGGCTTAAATCCAATTCAATAAATCATCATCAATCCATTTAACCCTCCAAAAGGTACATAAACCATCATCAATCATAAATCCCATAAATCATCATCATTTCCATCAATGCATTTCCATCAATCCATTTAAATCCCATAAAAAGGTACATAAACCATCATCAATCATAAATCCCATAAATCATCATCATTTCCATCATCATCATTTCCATCAATCCATTTAAATCCCCAAAAAAATGGCCGGTTTTGATCGCCATAAATAAAGATCTCCATGGCGACGCGACTTGCGACTTGGCGTCGCCATTTCGTCCTTCCGATGCTGGATGGGATCTCCTGAAGGTGTCGTCCAAAAGACGGAGTACACGGTCACAGGCACCGGGAACCTGTCGGGTTCGGCGATTCGCGGTGAAGCCATGGCACCGAGGCCACCCCCAAAAATCACCTCTTAAACCATGGCAAAATCGATAGAACCATGGCAATGAATTTATAACTGGTGGGTGGTGCAATTTCACCATCTTGAAAAATCTAAAAAAAGTCAATGGGAAGGATTATCCGCAATTACTTTAACATAGCGAACTGGAAAATTGCCATAGAAATAGTGAGTTTTCCCATTAAAAAAAAGGTGATTTAGAGGATATATAGATCACTGCTTGGTGGTGCAATTTCACCATCTTGAAAAATCTAAAAAAAGTCAATGGGAAGGATTATCCGCAATTACTTTAACATAGCGAACTGGAAAATTGCCATAGAAATAGTGAGTTTTCCCATTAAAAAAAAGGTGATTTAGAGGATATATAGATCACTGCTTGGTGGTGCAATTTCACCATCTTGAAAAATATGACTTCGTCAATGGGAAGGATGACATCTCATATATGGAAAATAAAATTCATGTTTGAAAGCACCAACCAAACAAGTAGGGAGAACATCCAGTTCTGGCACTTTAACTTTAACAAGTTTTAACGAAGCTATGGTCCAATGGTATAGATGGCCCATTTGTTGTTTGGTGATTTACCAATTAGACATAGGTGATTTTCCATATTTGGTGTTAAATTACCAAAGGATATCTGCAGGTTGATTTATCTGGGTATGATCAGGGTGGATATAACCCCTCTATATAAACTGTATATATAAATATTATATGTGTTTGACATATTCAATTCCACGACCTCACACATCGACAGCCTTCATTTTTTAACTGGCGGAACCAACCAACCCATCATTGAAATTGCCAATACGCTTCATTCTATACTTGAGCCTAGTAGAGCCAGGAGGTTCATCCATCAGGCTTCATGAATGGACTTACGCAAGAAATCATTACTTGAGTCGCAGGGATTCACACGGTCGAAAAAACCAACAAACCATCAATGGGAGATCTTCAGGATCCTGAAATGGAGGTACTGTACCATATTTTGTGGGGATATTCCCTTACATAGGCCTTATATATAGGCCTTATATATGGTAGGTACCTCCAATTTAGGATCCTGGAATGGCCATGGAACGGATATCACATTCCTCCACTGCCATTCGTGCTTTCCGAAAAATGGATAAAAATGGCCCATCACCCCATCACCGCGGACTGGATCCACGTGGAGCCAAGACACAACACTGACCTCAGCCCAAGACCCGGTGAAGTCAGCTATGAAGTTTGCAGTCAATTTTTTTGGGGGGGAGAATTCTGACCCCAACGGATAGAAACGGCCTATCTACAGAAATATCTGGCGAAAAATCGGGGGATCTCCGGGGATCCCTTCCATCATTCACCTGTCGTTCCTTTTCCCACATTTTTTTGAGATTTTTGGTACTGAGGGCGGGGGGAAAAGGTAGGTCGCCAAGATACATCAAATTGGCCCACTGGGCCCTTCGTAAGCCCTTCAAGCACCGGAAGGCCGACAAACACGAGGAAAAGGTGACCTTGGTGGCGCGGCACAGAGGTTTCAATGTAGGTCAGTGGTTCACTATAGGATTTGTGCTTTAGATATTACTTTGATATTTCTGTCTTCAGATTCTGAATGGTGATTTCAGATGTCACCAAAAAACTGACCGAAAAAAACATGTAATTCTTTCAGATTGGTTTTTCACACCTTTGCGATTCTCTTTCTTGGCTTTTTTTTCGACGCTTCATGGTTCGCTGGGGCTGGCGAACCATGCTTCGCCAAGCATTCGCCAAGCAACGCCAAAACCAATGGCCGAAATGCGGATCAAACTGGCTGCGTTGATGAAGTAGGAGCAACCACAATAGCCTCAGGGACCAACAGAAATAGCCTACAATGTGAGGCCCCCGTTCGATAGCGTTCAGTTGGTGAACATAATTCCAATGTCACTATGGTTTATGGTACTTATAACGAACTAGTTACTGGGGCTTATAAACCAACTTAGCTATCTTGGGGGCCTCACATTGTAACTAACTTAATTCTACTAATTTCTACTTATAACATAAGTAGCATAAGTTCGCTTGATGTAATTTTAAGTGCTTCAGCCAACTTGAACTTTAAAAAGTCAGGGAGTAATCCTTACTATGATCAGCTGTGGCCTTACTAGTAGGTTGATAGGGTTATGTGCTTTAGCTAATACTATTCTAAGTATGTGACAACACTGTCTTAAATCTGTTGTAACTATGTAGTAACCTTTTAGTAGGTTTAGGCAGGTTAGCTAAACTTTATAATTTTTAGCTAGTGCAAACCTAACTATCTTAAAAGTTGTAAAGGTTTAGGCAAGTTAGATGGCTTAACTTCATGGTCTAGCAATAATCATTTTAAGCTCCAGCAAACACATTTCTGGATGCAATCTGCTCTAAAGAAAATTGTGTTTCAATGCAGCAAAAACAAATTTTCAAAAAAAAAATATATGCCAGATATACCAATGAACATTTTTTCAAATTCACCATGAGCCAAGAACATGTTCAGGCAATCAAAGCATGGTTTGCCATGTGTTTTCCATGTGGGGTGCTGATAGCTTGTCCCCAGCATTGGACCATCGTGGTTAAGATTTCAATTGTGACCTGCTAACAGCAGTGTTTGCTATGACTTGCCAAAAATTGAGCAAAGCCCAAAATCATCTTGGCAATGAAATGTGGAATAAAACAATCAAAGAAGCTGCAAAAAACTGCTTCTGGAACTGCTTGATCAAGCCTGACAATGGCTGCTGCTGTGTAAGCTTTCATAGCTGTTCTTGCAAGCCTTCATAGCTGTGCTTGCAAGCCTTCATGGCTGTGGTTGTAAGCCCATGCAAGCTGTCCAGCTCTGTGGTGTTTCAAGCCTATCCATGGCTTCTTGATTTCCATGCAAGATTGTCATGGCTAATTGATGCAAGCCATAATGGCTGTTTTGACCAAGCCTTCCATGGCTCTTTGGATCTTGCACCTCCTCATTGATGGCTTTGGTTATGCTGTGCACTTGCAGGTGCTTGGCCCAAACGCAAAAGGTAGCAATGGCTGCCATTTCAGAAGAAGTGAAGAAAGAAGTGAATGGGGTGCTTAAAAGTGTTGACCCTGTGCTTGTCAAGGTGCAAAAGCTCACCAGTGTGCTTTTGGAATGTGGGCTGGCTTACAGGACAGAGCTGAAACCATGCGATGTTCTTGTGCATCCCCAGAATAGATCTGGGCAGATGCTGAGCAGTGTAGACTGCTGGAGCAAGGGCTTGAGAATGTGGAATGTGGGTGTGAGGAAAGAGCTGCTTACAGATTCCTTTGCCTTTGAGATGGCCTTAGAACCTCAAGCCAGAGAAATGCAGCTGGCAGCCAACAAGGCTTTGGTTGAGCAGACTCCATCCTTACTGGCCCCTGTCACTTGCAAGGAGAGGTTCTTGAGTGTAAGCAGTTCTCATACAACTGCTTGGCTGAAAGCATTGGAAGCAGGATGCCAAGGACCTGGACCTCAGCATGTGCTTCAGCTCAGGCAAGGAGAGGAGAGGTCAGATGGCATTCTGGAGCTGCTAAGCCAGGGATGGTCTTGGTGTGTGCTGTAAAGACTTGCCCAGCTGGCTGCGACTTGCTTTGAACAGCACCAACAGCAACTCCAAGCAGCTCTCTGAAGTGGAATGTGCTGCACAGCTGGCCCAAGGCCTGAAGCATGGGCAACAGCTCAAGAACTCTTTGGATATTTTGAAAGCATGTGACCCAGCTTGCAAGCCTAGCTTGGATTGCATTGCTCACTATGTGGGCAAGTTTGGTGGTGGCATGGATTGTCCAATCATCAATTTCCTCTCCAAATTCGGTTTCTCAGCTTGATTCAAAATTTGATGTGTGAAGTGCATTTTGGAAGGTGCATTCATAGCACTCATATTACCTTCGATGTCTTGACTGTGGTGTTAACAGCTTGAGTGTTTATCCTGCCCTTTCAAAGATGGCAATGGGCACCACATAGCTAGAGACCTTAGGCAAGACCTATGGCACTGTCATGGTGGGTGAAGAGATGATGAAAGCTATCACCTATTTTGAGCTGAAGGGTGGTGATCATGTGCTACCTTTCTTGAGAGCTTCCATGCCTCTTGGCAGCATCAAGTGGTTCTTTCAAGCCTGCATGGCTGACTTTTAGTTGCAAAGGCTTTGTGCCCATGCAAGTTCAAGCCTCTATGGCTGCCTGTTGGTTGGTTGCTGTTGCCTACAGATTCAAGCCTTTCTGGCTAGTTAATCATGCAGGTTCTTGTTGTAGCCTTGCCAAGCCTTGATGGCTACCTGCTGTTCTGGTTGTTTCAAGCTCTCTGTGGCTGTGCAACCCTTCCTCAAGCCACTGCCTTCTTCCTTTGCATCTGAGGTGGGCAACAATGATGTCTTCACAGAAAGCTGTGGATGGTGTCTCCAAGATTTTGGTCAGAGGCGACACAGAAAGAGTCAAAAGCCTTGCGATGAGGCAGAAGGTGCTTGAAGCAGAGCAGCTGGCCAGGATACATTAGCAATTTTTGACTTGATTCCACCTTGCAAAGTCAATTTCTTTTTTGGCACTTGTGGAAGCCAGCATCTGAGGCAAGTTCTTCAAGATGTTTGGGCTTTATATGTGGCTTCCAATGCTACTGAAAGCCAGACTGTTGGTGCCTTTGGTCGACTGTGTGTCAGGGTTTGCCTGCATGTTCTCAACAAAGAGAAAGCAGGCAGAGAGCCAGATGGGTTTGAAGATTTGCAGGAGATTGCTGGAAAGTTTACAGAAGACTTGCAAGGCATGGCACAGGTGCAAGCTGCAGTCTCTCCTTCTAGCACTGACATCAAGGTGAGCAATGTGTTGTCTGCCAGCAAAGCTGAGTTGGCCCTTCTGCAAAACAAACGCATCAAAGTCAATGAGATGCATCTTGGTGTGATTTTTTTGAAGCCTTTTGAATGAGTTTCTTTTGGATTTTTTGCAAAGTTTCTTTTGAAGCCTCACATTGGTACTATTGCTAGGTATCTCAATGCCAAAGACCATGGCCACAAGATATTCCAGCACATCTCTTGCACAGAGACAGCTTGCATCATGGTGCATCAGCCTTTGTTTCATCCCAAAGAAGAAGTGCATGTGCCATTTGACCAGCTCAAGTTGTGGAAGCTGACCAAAATGCACCCTCCTGAAAAATGTGAAGGAGCAAAGCAGGACCAACATGTGCCACAGCATAATCCTTTGGTGCAAGCAGACATGCAGAGGAGCCATGTTCAGAAGGCTTTGCTGCAAGCATGCATGGACCATGCTGTGACTGCTGACCAGGTTGCTTTCACCAACCACCCCAACCATGTTTGGTCCTTGCAGAAAATGAAGAAAGGTGCACTGAAGTTTGTGCCTTGTGGAACTGTCTCCAAGCTCAAAGGTGAGCCTGTTAAGGACAAGATCTACATCAAGGCATTTGGTCATGATTGGCAAGTGCAGCCTTACAAGGCATTGAGTGATTTCAGCAAAGATGGTGGTGTCCTGTCACCATTTTGGTGGGTAAAGGCAGCTGGGCAAGGTGAAGATGGCAACATGTCTGCCAGTGAGATTGTGGTTGATGCTTGCAAGATCCCTATCTTGACAAACAGCTCTCCTGTGGCTGCTCATGACAAATTGCTCACTGACAATGGAAAGAAAGAGATTCAGCCCAAGAAGAAGGCCAAGACTGAAAGCTGAACTTTTGGTTGCTACTGCAATAGCAAGGGTATAGGTGTCACACTGCAGAGGAGTACTCATTTCTGCAGCATGCAAAACAGCTGTCTCCCATGAAGATCTTCATTGCCAAGCCTTTCTTGTGGCTCCTGTAGGGTGCAAGCTGTCATGGCTGGTGGGTGTGCAAGCCTTTGTAACTGGCTGGTAGCCTTCTGTGTGCAAGCCTTCATGGCTGGTAGCCTTCTTTGTGCAAGCCTTCATGGCTAGTTATGCTTGTAAGCCTGCATGGCTTTTTGATTGCTTCTTTGCCTTGTGTTTGCACCATGGAAAGGCTTTGCAATTGAGGAGTTTGGCCCAAAGCAGAAGTGTGACACCACAACTTAGCCCTACCTTCACATGGTGGATGTGAGATATTCTTGGGCTATCAAAAATGGCGACAAATGGCTCAATGTGCCACATTCTTTGGTGGAGACCTTTGAAGGGAAAGCTTTCTTGAGGTCCAGGCCAACTTTCCCAATGATCTGTCAGCTGGTCATGAAAGACAAGTACAGGAAGAATGCTGGTTTGACTACAAGTGCCAAGCTGCAGGAACTTTTGCAGCTCAGGAATGAAGCTGCAGCCAAGCTTGATTTGCCAGATGAAGATGCAGAAGGAGAAGAGAAGGAAGACCTTTTTCAGGCAGAAAGTGCAAATTCTGAAAGCCAAAAGAAAAGAAAAGTTCCTGCTGGCTCCTACTTGGTGGAATTTGAAGTGCTCAATGAGAAGATCATTTGCATGGTGAGTGGAAAGAGGCCTTCCAAGTCAGACTTGCTGATCCAGCTTGTGCCTGAGCAATTGACAGCTGTGGTCAGGTTTTTGGAGGAAGACATTGACTCTTGCTTGGGTGCAACCCCCAAAGCCTACAAAAAGAAGTGATGTGGTCATGGCATGCTTGCAGTCATTGGCAAGTGAAGCCTTGGCATTGCTGATGTCAAACCAGAGCTGCTGACACAAGGGCACCAAAAAAGTTTGCTTCAGCAGCCTCCTGCAAGCCTTGCATGGCTTTGACACAAGGAAGCCTTGTCATGGCTCTGACTTTTTGCAAGCCTTGTGTGGCTTCTGGGCTTCAAATGCTGTAATTGCCACTTTGTGAATTAAGCTGGCATGGAGCATGTTGCACAAGCACTGGTTTCTTGCCACCAGTTTAGATTATTTCCTAT